TGGGGAGGAGGAGGAGGGGGGTGTAGGGGGGGGAGTGAGTAGGCTACGGGGCGGAAATACGCATGGACACCCCCCGGAGAGCTGGAAGAGTGTCGCAACAGCGCGTCCGCCCTGAGCGAAAGCAGCCAGGCAGTGTTTGAGAGTGAATCACGGCGTGGACCTGAGAGAGACAGAGAGGCTTCTGGGACAGCTTTGCCCCGCGTGTTGTTGTCTGGGACTCCGCAGAACCTGCTGTGTGTCTGTGTGCGGGGGTAACCTGGCAATACAACTCCACTGGGCATCTATGTGTTTTCTTTGCTGTTTTGTCAGAGACCAGTCCACACATACTGGTTACACTGGACCAAAGTCATTCTTTTCTATCAGCCAGGTAGACTGGGGACAATGGTGAAAGCCAAACTCCATGTAGGAAGATAATAACACTCATTGTGCAGTTACACCTGGTGGGCAAACTGAACTGAGAAAGGTTCATTGACTACATTTAAATAAAATGTATTATTATTATTATTACACTGGTGTAGGATTTACCTTATTACACCCTGTTCAACATCACAATAAGAAAAAACTAACAAAAGACAAACAAAAACAAAACTCCACGTCTATTCCATGATGTTCTATTCTGTTCTATCCTATTTTGTGCTACCAGTGACTAGCAGGGTATAAACAGGTATGAGTTTGATCAGGAGATCCTGATGAGGAAACAATCAGTACGAACCAAAGTCAATTCACAACTCATGTGTGCTGCCTTCTTTGATAGAGTTCAGTTAAATCTGATGGGCGAACTGGACTGAAAAGTAAGGTTTGTTTGAATGAGTTTTCTATTTCTAAACCACACTCCTTTAAAAAAAAAAACACACATTAATTTATGCAGCAGTGGGCTACATCATTTTGATACAGCACAAACAAACCCCCCACGTCTCTTCTATCCGATTGTAGTGACTACCCTGATTTAAACAGGCGTGTAGTCTAAATGATTACTTCTTGTGCGACATCACGATTAGGAAAGCAATCAGTATGAACCAAACTCCATTCAAAAAAACAATCATTTATGCAGCTGTACATCATTTTCATACGGCACAAACAAACCCCCATGTCTATTCTATTTTGTTCTATTCTTCTCTCCCAGTGACCAGCATGGTGTAGGCATTAAACAGATGGATATGACTTACTACATGAGGAGATCGTGATAAAGAAACAATCAGTACAAACCAAACCCCATTCAGAATTTAATATTATAAAAAAGCTCCATGTTTTCTATTCTATTCATCCACGCAAATCAAATATGAAGCTTTCAAATGCGAAATATAGCCTATTTACTTCTGCTAGAATATGCTATAAAACCTTGGTTTGAACTGGTTGTCAATTTTATGTTACATATGGTTACTGACCAATGCATCGGAGCACATTTCACAGCTAGAGTCCAACCACATTTTCTAAAGGAACGGAAGTCGAATTGATTAAGAGTTCATTAAGAGCCATTCAATCACAAGCCAATTTACTAATTACCCGCTTGTGTAATTCACTGTCTTGCAATATGGCTGCATTATGTTGATGAAAACAAAATGAAGTTCACTAGTACTCACATTCATTGCCATCCGAACAATAACACAGGGGTATCTGACTGGTTGGAGGCGACAGGTGCAACACCTACCCACTGAAAAGTCAGCAGAACTACATTTCCCAAGGTACCTTGCGCCGTGCTCAAGAATCCGTGGAAAAGCGATTGCGCCTGCGTATCCAGACGTGGCAACGGCATCATGGCCTCTTGGAACCGCTACGGGAGTCGGATGAGAGAGGCGAAAATGTGCATGTTGGTGTTGCTGGTGAGTCAAACGAACCTCCTTTTGTGTGTCGTGGAAAGGTTTTCTGTGACATTCCCGGAGGGTGTGTGTGTCCGTTTGGGAATTCAGGAGAGAAAAAAACCAATCCAAACCGCTCTCCGCCGCGTCTCCTAGCCTGTCCGTGCAGGAGGTAAAGTTGACAGCCCTTGACTGAACTTGGAGCTCAGATTGAGTTAACTAGCTCGTAATACTGTGGCTGGACTGCGGTCTCTGCGGTGCACGTTAAACCGCTGTGTTTCTTTATGTAACTGCCTACACAGAGCGGGTTTCTGACCGACGGTCGCCTGTGTGTGTGTGTGTGTACACACGTACACGGGGTCCCCTCCCCTGTGTGTCTGAGCCTTAACCACCGTCCTGTGCAAACGGTAAACCCTAGCGTTACCTTTCTCTCTATAGCCTCCATGTTAATGTGTAAAAGGTAGTGCTGTTTTTTAAGGTGTCGTTCATGCGGTAGGTTAGGGACAGTCACAGGAAGGCATCTGCTCAGCCATCCGAGTTTGTAAAGGGAATTGAAAGTTCAAAACTTTGTGACTTGCATAAAAATCGCTGGCCCCCGGCAGGTGGGTGTGAGTTAGCTGCTGTGTATAACAGAAGTGTCCTTCCATGTCACATGACTGAACTGTTAGACACCAACCAATCTTAGCTGAATGAAAAGTGTTGTCCCCTGCACGGTGTGGCTTAGAGCAGTGCTGCAGCCAACAGTTGTTTGGGACCAAAGTCAAAGGACCCAAGTATTCAGTTCACACAGGAAGTGTTTGTTATTTTTGCTAGTTAAAGGACAGTGTAAGTCTGTGATGAATATTAAACACAAGGGCCACTTATAAAGCTAGTCCTGGAGCTTTCAAATGTACCAGTCAGCCTTGCAGGAAGAATATTTCAAGTTCACGTTCAAGTGTATTTGTGGAGCACAGCTACAACAGCATTACATATTGCTTATAAGTTATGACATACATTCAGTGGCCAGTTTATTAGGTAACCTGTGTTGGCTTTCCAGCAGACAGTTTTCACTGTCTCTTACAGATTTTCATACTGTACAAAAATAAGGGAAAGACTAATGGCTCAGACCAGTCATTTCCTCATTCAAGTGACTGGGAAAGTGTGTCCAAACGTGTGACTGGTATTGAGTGCCAGCTGTATTATACTGTATCTGTCACAGTCATGTCACTGTAGCTTTTCCTGGTCTGGTTCCTGTTGAGCAGCAGCCCTGGCAAACAAGGGTGGAGCTTTGGTGTGTACTTACAGTATACTGTGTGCATTTGGACAGTGCCACTATTTGATATTTTGGCACAGCTCACTGGATCGGAAATGAAATCATGACTATGATGTTAAAGTGCTGACTCGCAGGTTTAATTTGGCAGCGTTTACATCCTCAACATGTGTATGGTGTTGGAATTTTTGCCCTCTCACACAAAGTACCCCAATTTTTAGATAGCTGAACACTATAACAAAAAAAAACATGAAGACTGCGCTGTAACATGACAAATAGATATGTGGCTCACAGTTCTCATCTGTAAAAGTGGTGAAAAGTTTCTCTGAAATCTTTCACACCATAGCTTAAAAATAACTTAAAATTCTGTAAAAAAAAAATTTAAAAATGTTTGCCCACTGAAACACAACCATAGAAAAATGAACATGATGAACATGAATTCAAGTCTGTAGATTGAGAAACTGAATACTCAAGTAAACATTGTGACATGTTTTTAAAATATATATTGATTGATTTGATTAGTCTAATTCATTTCATTATTGATTCATCTGTCGATCAATTTTCGGGAGTGTAATTATTAGCTGTCGATAAATGTGTTTTGTCCAGCAACCAAAATATTCACACTTAAGAAACCAGAAAATATGCACATTTTGAGAAGCTGAAATCAGAGAATTTAAACATTATTTCTTAAAAAATTACCCAAATTAATTACCAAAACAGTTCATAATCAATTTAATAGTTAAAAGCAACTAAATGATTCAAGTAATCATTGCAGCTCTATTAGACTGTCGACAAAAACGCACAATTTTCAGTAATTTTCTAAGCAAAAAACTACTAGGTTTTACTCGGATTGCTGTTTTTATTCCATTGTAAAAGTGAACACCCACAACACAAAGCAGACAAAGCAAGCTAATTCAAGATGTCACCTTGGACTCTAGGATGTACTCTGAGTTTTCAACATTTAGACCAGTTGTTTTATAGAAAAATTGAAAAACTACAGATTATTCGACGATGGCAATAATAATTAGCTGCAGCCCTCAGCATGGCATATCAATATTGCTATAATACTGTGACAAATTGTGTCCTTGTCACTCACCACTAGGCACCTACGTTGTCTAAGAGCAGGTGCATTGGTGGCGTGTGTGTGGGGATTGGGTAAGGGAGGGGATACACCACTGCACCACTTTGTTAGAGGGTAGCTGTCTGGGTGCTAGAGGTCTGCCTGTCAAAACAATTTAATCCAAGGTCCCTTTACACCCTCACACACACACACACACGAAGGAAGGAAGGAACTAGCCTACTTGGTTCACTTGCCCATGGCTGGTAAACTCAAAATGTTGTCTCCCTATCAATGATATCATTTCTGTTTTCAGACCAGAAGAATCGGTGTGTGTGTGTGTGTGT